AAACCAGAACTCTACCTCAGTTACCTTTTTTCTTCCTCCCTTCTCTTCTCTGCATCTCCAAAATTTCATGATACTGCACACTCACTTCATGAATCATCAGCAAGCCACATAGATTGATACCCATAATGTACATTCTTCTAATGGTTGCAGTTCCTTTTGCAGACTTTCCCAACAAAACAAAAATAAAAATTATCTCACCTCTAATCAGCCACGTTCTACTTGTTTAGTGATACTCTATAAATGCTCCCTATCATAGCCAAGGTAACACTCTCTACTCAGTCTTGGAGTTCCCATTTCTCGCTTGTCCTCCATCTCTTGTTCTTCCTGCTTCAGCATTAATAGCACCCACTCAAAATATCAGTCTCCTATATCTTCATCCAACTTGATTTATCTAATTTCCCACTCCTAAAAACTTCTGTTTTAGCCAGTCCCAGCCAGCCTTCTGGCTTCCAGTTTTTGGATGCAACTGAGATTTTTTGGGGATCAAATAATTCCCAGCAGGAGGGGTGGTCTTGTTCATTTGTCCTTTCTGCCACACTTGCATGTCCTCCCTCATCCTAGCTGTGGTTTTTGTCAGCACACTGTGAACTGTTCAGCTCACTAAAGCAGCCAAAGCTACTCACCTGTCTCCTTGCTGGCTCAGTTTTCAGCTTGCTTAGTGATTTGACTCAAATTACCAGAAAGCAAGAAAAACACCAAAGTTGTTGTAGAGAAGGGGAGGAAAAGTGAAGGGAGGAGGCCTTTGCTGGAAAAAGGAAGAGAGTAACAAGAGAATGGGCCCGTCTTTTCACTCCCATGTCTCAACCTTTTTACCTGACACAAACCTTAATCATTCAGTTCTATTCCACGTTTGGTTTAGTTTCTCTACAGTCCTACCAACTTTGGATTTCTGTGTTTTCTGGGTATCTTCTTCCTTCACTACTACTAGATACCAAAAAAACGAGCATTATTCATTGGCTGGGGATAGGGTAACATCATCCTTCTCATTTATTCCCTTTCTTGCTTTCGCCATTCCCCCTTGGCAGATTTTTATTCTTCTTTCCTACACTAGGAGTAAAAGATACAACAGAAAGTGTGGTGAATGACCCTTGCCAGTCTCATCCTGACTCAAAGAACAGTCACCAGTCACTGTCCTGGAAGCTATGTCATAACCAGTGATTTTTATTTTTAAGTTTCCTGCTCTGAATCAAATTCACTTCAATAACTGCTAAAGATATCCCTAATCTTCTTCCTCTTACACACAATACTTAGTAAAATATTATATTGGTGTCATTCCATACTAAATTAATACAATAGCTATGAAAATCTTCTCCCTAGTTTTTTTCTACCGCTGTGAACAACTTGAGAGAGAAGCAGTGACAGGAACTAAAACGTCTCAGAAAATCTTTCCCTGAGACAACATACCTGATATTCAGATACATTGAAGACCGTTTCAATGGCTTGTCCAAGACTACAAAAGCATGATGTACTTCATACTAGAATAGAAAGAATTTCATAAAGAAATGCAGGAAGTATATTTCTGAGGATTTAATAAATGTCATTCTATGAGAAATTTTACTGCTTTTGCTGCCTGTAACTGAGCAGTTTATCATTTGAAAACCCTAAGTTATTATAAAGCTTTTCCTTAGAGTTTTGATAATTCAAATAAAGCTATTGCATGCTTATACAGGAATTTTGATTCCCAGTCCCACCTACAGAGAAAATTGACAAATAATTATTGTTTAACTATAAATTATTCCCAGTTAGCTACTAAGATGAAATCTGTGACCTATTCCCATGGCACAATAGTTGCACTTCAACAAGAAGATTCAGTAAACTGTACTTTCAAATTAACTACTAATAGAACTTTCTGCAATGAAACTATGATATATGGCCATATATGTATCTATATATCTATAAAGAAACTGAATTAGAGAAAAAGTGGAAGTACAGAAGTTAGGCACTCTGCCTTAGTTGTTCGCTTTTTGACTAAAGGAATATTCTCCAATTATTGAGAAGGACTGTGAAGAATCATGTTTACAAACCATAAGAAAAGAGAATTAAAATTATGTGTAGAGCTGCATGATGAGTCCAATTTGTACTTTAAACTAATAAATTAATTTATTATTATTAAAATGTTTAACTAATTAATGAAATTTTCCAAATACAATGTTACATGAATAACAAAAGGCTCCAAAAGTTCTTCAGGAAGAAGCAGTGCATACTGTGACAGCAATAGAACTCTGAAAAGATATTCGAAAGGCCATAATTTCTGCCATGAAGTAAATCCTTCAATCAATCTCACTGATAAAAAATTTACCCAAGTTCTCAGTGATTCTTAGAGTCATTGTAGATACTTACACAATTTAATAACAGACTGGAATTGAAAGAAAACATTTCACAATAACATCCTATTGAAGACAAATCTGGAAAATACTCTTGAACTCTGCTCTTCACACATGGGAGGAATCTGATAAGAATCAAACCAGGAGTGCAAGTCTATAACTGTAAATCTTAATATCATTTACATTAACTAAAATTGGAGATACGTCATTTGTCTCACTGAACTATAGTCAGTTATTTTTCATGTATGTTTACAGAAGAGTGGTATTCCAAATGCTCTGTCAATATGAATATTCCATCCCTGGTTCAGATAAAAATGGAAAGTCATATTATCCCAGATTCAGAGACATATCTACAGTATTATATGTGCCAGTAAAACAGGGAATTTTTCCTTAAAGTCAGAGATTACTAACATACCAGTAGTAATGTTGGCATTCAATCATATTTGAAAATGAAAAAAAAAAAAAACAAAACCAAAAGCCAAAAAACTTGTGATATTTTCTGTCTGTCTTAATGTTTCCAGGTAACTGTAAGCAAGAACTAAAATTGGGCTTGTCTGCTTTTCTTCTCTTCACAAAGATGTTTCTGCTTAATAGCCAGGATTTTCAGCCAACAGATGCCATTAGTATGTATGTGTGTTGTTTTGTTTCTTGTAAAACCATTGTGGCTTAAGCCCAGTGGGAAAATAAGCACCACACAGACTCATTCCCTCCCTCCTCCCTTCCCCCAAGTGACATGGGGGAAGAGGCACGGAAAAACCCCAACAACTAGGGGTCAAGATAACAAACAAAAAGTTTGTTTAATAACGGAAAGATAAGTGGAAAAAGAGGGAAGAAAAAAATGAAACAAGTGATGCTGCAGCAATCACTCACCGCCTCCCATGGGTAGACTGATGCCCTGCCAGGTCCCAAGCAAAAGATGGCTAAAAGATGGCTAACCCCTCTAAAGCCCCCTCTTTGGGCTTTTATTCCTGAGCATGACGTTATGTGGCAGGGAATTTCTCTTTAGTTAGTCTGGGTCATCTGTCTGTTTGTGTCCCCTCCCAGCCTATTGTGCAGCCCCTGGTCTATTCACTGGGGGGATGCAGAGTGAGAAACAGAGAAGGGATTGATGCTGTGCAAACACTGCTCAGCACAAGCTAGAACATCCCTGTGTTATCGAGACTGTTTTCATCACAAATCCAAAACACTGCCCCATACAAGCTACTGTAAAGAAAATTAACCCTATCCCAGGCAAAGACAGTACAAGTGTGCAGCACAATAGGTACAATTCCACATCCAACAACTCTAAATGACATATTAATTGAAAAAATTCTAATGTAAAACAGAGACAAAAAGATTTGCTGTGCTACTTTAGTCTTATAAGGGGTGAAATTGCTGGTTTTGTCAGCTAAACCAGCTCACCGAAAGGAATGATGAATACAAGATGTAATGAGAGGGGTAGGACAGCACAGCACAACAGGAGCCAAGAAAGGAATGAGAGAAGAGCATTGCACCCATCTTTTCAGCCTTGTCAACTCACTGAACACCTCACATTTGATTTAGTCTTGAGTGGAACTGACACAACTTCTAGAAGTAGCAGGCATAAATGCAAACCTTATAGGCACTATTCAGCACCCTCTGGCTAAGGTAATGTTTTCACATACCCACATACCTACACACCTCCCCTTTTGGAATCCCCCTTTCATGTCACTTTGTACTGCCAGCCCCTCCCATGACACGGACCAGTCTGAGCCACATCTAGACCACTGCAGCATTAGCTCCTCCAGCCTTCCTGTTTCTTAAGTTAAAAATGAAGGGTATAGATGTTGATCTAGCTAACAAAAATAGCTGTTCACGATGTCATATAATTATGCATTTTTACACAGTATATCTTTATAAATAAACCATTGGGCTGTACTAAAATACATTGTAACATAACTCCTGCATACAATCATTTTAAAAACAAGCCTTTTCTTACAGAATTTACGTTGACCTCTTGTAGCTAAATGGTCAAAGTACCAGTCCTATACTTAAGGCATTGTAAATTAGCTTGTTCAGAAAATATTCTATCAGTTAAGGCAAACAAGCAAAAAGAGCATTTTGGAGAATAAATGTTATCATAACACTTTGAAAGACTAGAACACAGCACAAGAAAAGCAAGAAAATAAGCATGTGAGCTTTTCCATTTTATATAAAAAGACTTTTCCTTAACTTTGGCTAAGAGATCATTCAGTAACAATGGGACTGAAAATAAGCAGATATAAAATTATCTTGAAACCTTTTATAGCTGTAACTTTTGTTTAAAAACTTCAACAGCTTTACACCCAATCCATAAGTAGTGAAAAATATTTTTTTATTTAACACGATATTTATTATTCATAGCTAGTATTAAAAAAAGCCAAACCAAACAAACCCAGAAAATACCCCAAGACTTTCCTGCTTGATTGATTATATTAGTTTAAAATATATGAAATAGGACTGACCTGGGCAGAAATTCTGCTGTGTCTGAGCAGTTAATTTTTCTTGCACAGCACACTTTTCAAAATGTCCCGCAGTTGCATTCTGATGTAGGCCCCGTTGTCTGGTGGCAAATCCCAGTTCCCCAGGATCAGAAAACTTCCGATAAAACTGTGGCTCCAGATCACTGAAAGAGAAGTTTACAGCACCGTGCCTTCCACGGCCACAGTCACTGAAGAAGGATTCGTCCTCGGTGCCCTGTGCTGGTAGCGGGAGGATGCGGTGGTGCAGCTGCGGGCTAGGCAGTCTCGAAGATAACGGAGAAGGAATAGGAGACATTTGTTTGTGTGTATTAGATAGAGGATATGAATTACTAAAAACATTACTCACTGCTGCTAATGGGGGTGAATGCAGCCTTTTCTCTTCCAGTTTAAGATTATTACTTGTCTGAGGAATATCAGGACTTTCATTTACAGGCAGGTTCAAAAATAAATGCTTGCCGTTTCCCCGGGATACCGTGGTCCTTTTCTCATATAGTGAGCCTGGCAGGTTTCTGTCTACTCTTGTAATTTGTTGCAGCCTCTTCCATTCTGCAGCTTCATCTAAACTGTCGCTCCGGATAACTTTCAGAAGAGCTTTATTAACAGCTCCCACAAGGTTGCATGACTCATCAGTAATGTGCACTCTCTCTGCTTTGTACTGCAAACCAGAGCCATCTTCCTCCTTCTCCTCCAGCACACTGTTATTAGAATCCCCAGTAGCTTCATCTACAGAGTATACATTAGTTCTTGATATAAACTCATTATGTGCTGTTGTGAGAGCAGGAGAAATGGTTTCATTGTCTCTGTGAGGATCATGTAAAGACTCTGCAGGAAGGTTGGTAACTTTTTTAATACAGGTGTCTAAATCCTGGACTTCAGCAAGAACTGTGATTCCTGGTTTCTCCTTGCATACTGGCTCAGCATACTTGCTACTTTTCAAGATTTTAGCAGCTGCAGATTTACTTAATGTCTCAAGTTTGTTAGACAGACTGTACTGAGATGAATTCACCAAAGTGGTCCTCTGTTGTACCTTGGTAACTTCAGGAATGCATTCTCCATTATCCACTGGTTCAACTGCAACAACATCATTGATGTCTTTTGAGCTAGAACTTGGTAAGTCAACATCCAATTTCACAGCTTTGTTGCTCTTAAGAAAATACCCCTCTTCTGTCCACCTTTCTGGTTGTATTCTATTGTCTACTGGTAAATTATCCTTACCTTTTACTGTTAGCCAGCTGGAGGGAGAAAAGGAGCTGGGATAATTCCTGATAGAAAGTTTTGTGGAGACCATCTTCTTATTTTTCTGTTGCATGTCTTGTGCACTCAGTAAAAATAGATGTTCTTGTATCTTTTTTCCCTCTTTCCGATGTCTGATCTCCTCAAAGCTCTCTTTCCTTCTGTATTTCCTCATTTTTTTGTGATTCAAATTGTCCCTCTTTGTAGAATCCAGCAATAACTCCTGCTGATGTGTAAGACTGGAGTAATTATCACCTTTAAGTTTCGGGACTCCGGAAACATCCTGCTGCTTTTCCTCCTGACGTCCTGCCTTAAGGTCTGGAATATGATGAGATCTCAAAACACTGGATAACAGTTTTTCCTTTTCAGCAGTTAGTTTGTACATTTCATTGAGAAGGTCTTTTGTGGTAGTTTGCTTGAAAATAATAACTCCACAGTCTTTATCTGGCAGTTCTCTCAGGTTCATGTCCAACCTCTCCCTTGCTTGATAGCAGCCACAGTAACTCTTACTGGTTCCATCCAGAGTTCCAGAGCTCTTGCAAGTAAATCCTGTGACTTTCCCCTCTGGATGATAGAAGCTGATGTAACAAAGCTCCATAATGGGTTTGTGCAATTGAAGGATGGTATGTGTGCCTTCCATTATGCTTGCCAAATTAGTCATTCGTTTAAATTATGTTCTAAGTGTTCCAAAGCTTGCATGACATAGCATGTGAGGCAGGGAATGGACAGAAGGCATCTGACTAATCTTCAACAATAATATTGTCTGCTGGGAAAAATAAAGAGAAGCCTGTCAAACTTGATTATGGCAAATTTAATATGACAAATAACAAGCCTGCAGAAGCACAATCTTCTCTCACTATTTTCTGATACAAATCTTTTACCTTGAAAATCTGACACAAAAAGAATGACACTGCTAGCACTTATAGTTGGAGTCATAATCTTTCTGTCTCATACATCATCCCTCTGTTTCCAGGGTTCTCAGTCAATGCTGTTCCATCAGGTCACAAGATGGTCACTGAAACACTCATTTCAAAGAGATTTTACTTTTGAATAGTGGAATCTCCTGCCCTCTCTCTGTTAAAGTTAACTTGCTGTTAAACATTTAGTTAAAAGAATCATTCAAGCATGCCTGTTGCCTTTTTACTCAAGACAACCACCAGGATAACACCATCATGATGTAATTAGGTCTCACTGCTTTATTTACCAAGAAAACATTTAGAAGATAAAAAAGGCTGAATATTTTCTTCTTGTACTATTTTGTGGAACTGCCAAGACATGAAGAAAACTTGGAATAAGAAAAAAAAATTAGGTTCTGTTTACTTGGCTAACATACAGGTACTATACAAATCCATTTTGAATCAACATGCAATAGCATAATTGTTCTTTTATAGGCAGATTTTTGGAACTTTTTATTTCCTTTTCTTTTAATCACGTTTTCTTCCTATAGATTGGATATATTTACATTCTTTGGATACATAATGAAAGTTTGCCTGCGCCTTTTGGGAACTAAATTGTTTTTTATCCAGAAGAAACTCTGCTACCACAATTAAAGTGGAGAAGTCTGAAGTAATTAAGAAATGCATAAGCATTAGGAAAGGCCTAAAGCTCAGGACCACAAAAAGCTGGAGAGCACCTGCTCCTACATGGAAAAATGCAGGCATTTCAGTTTTCAACTGGAAAAGAACAAATACAACAAAACTTTTCATCATTTTAAAGGAGTCAAACTTATTTCAAAGGAAGCTGTCATATTACTATGTAGAATATTTCACAGAATCATAGAATAAGCTGATTTGGAATGGACCCATCAAGATCATCAAAGTTCAGTTCCTGGCCCTGCACAGGACACCCCAAGAGTCACACCCTGTGCCTGAGAGCATTGGTCAAAAGCTTTCTGAACTCTGTCAGGCTTGGGGCTGTGACCACTTCCCTGGGAACCTGATCCAGTGCTCAACCTTCCTGTGGGTGAAAAACCTTTTCCTGATATACAACCTAGATCTCCCCTGACTCAGATTCATGCAATTTCTTCAAGTCCTCATACTGTTCATGAGAGTGAAGAGATTGGTGCCTGTCCCTCTGCTTCCCCTCATGAGGATGGTGAAGACTGCAATGAGGTGTCTCCTCCAAGTGGAACAAAATGAGTGACCTCAGCTGTTCCTCTTAAGGCTTCCCCTCTAGACTCTTCCCCATCTTCGCAGCCCTCCCTTGGATGCTCTCTAGCACTTTATATCTTTGTTGTACTGTGGCTCTCACAAGTGCCCCCAGCACTGGAGGTGAGGCTGCCCCAGCTCAGAGCAGAGCAGGACAATCCCCTCTCTTGCCCAGCTGGCCATTCTGTGCCTGATGAACCCCAGGACACACTTGGCCCTCCTGGCTGCCAGGGCACTGCTGAATCATGTTCAGCTTGCCATGGACCAGAACCACCAGGTCCCTTTCTGTGGCACTGCTTCCCAGCCTCTCATTCCCCAGTCTGTCCATACATCCAGGGTTGTCCATCACAGGTGCAGAATCGGCACTTTGCCTTGTTGGACTTCATATGGCTGGTGACTGCCCAGCACTCTGATATGTGATGGTGTCTCTGCAGGGCCTCCCTGCCTCTGAGGGAGTCAACAACTCCTCCCAGTTTAGTGTCATCAGCAAACTTATTTAGTATTCCTTCAAGTCCTGCATCCAAGTTGTTAATGAAGATGTTGAAGAGCACAGGGCTTAGGAGAGAGCCCTCAGAACCCCTAGTGACTAGTGACAGGTCACCAGTCTGATGTCACCTCCTTCACTGTTGCCCTTTGCACCTGATCCATGAACCAGTTGCTCACCCATCACATGATGTGTTTATCCAGCTGTGTGCTGAACATTTTATCCAACAGGATACTGTGAGAGACAGTATTTAAAGCTTTGCTGAGATCTAAAAATATACAAGTTTTGTATCACTTTTTATTATGCAGAGTTAGATATCATTTTATAAAGATGCCCATAACTTATAATAAGTAATTTGTGAAGCTCAACTGTAAGAATCAAGCAGCATTTACCCAAAACATCTTATCAACAAGCAGTCATTTTTTCCAGTGATTTAATTGCATCTGTTCATAATGTTCTTTAAACAGTTTCAAATTTCCATTTATCATTCTTCATGACAGCAAAATTCTTAAAATGTATACATAATCCTTAAAGACAGAGAAGATATCCTAAGGAGAGAGACTACAGTAAGAACAATGTTCCATTAGAGCCATATGAACTTCTTAATTCTGCTCACCAGCAGTTGAATGGCATCATTCAGAATACTCTTCAAGTATAGGAAGTGGTAGGAAAGGTGCAAAACCTTTAGTCACTACTTTTGTTGAAGACTGACTTGTTGCTCCATAGACCTGTGAGAGAGTCTGAGAAAAATATGTCATTCTGTTTCCTATTTAACTTTTTGTGTGAGTCTGGAGTTCAAGATACAGGCAAGGCTGAGGACTATCTAAAAGAGCAGCCTCACTTCTTGCCTCACCAGTCTTCCTTGTCTCCAGCTGTGCACTCTAACATAGAGTGATTGTGCAGTCACAGGGTGTGTGTGCCACTGGCAGATGCAGTCAAGAGTGGTTCTGCTTACAGAAATATTAGGAGCTTTCTTAAGCCTGCTCATTCTTCAGTCAAGCCAGCAGTGAACACCCCTCAGGAAACAGCATCATGGAAACTTCATACCCAGTAGCTATAGACCCAGACATTATGTTCAAATTTAGTATCCTCAAATGACATCTGTGATATCACCAGGTTCAAGTCAGCCCTATTCTGTAGATCATATAACACTTGGTAACTTGCATTGTTTTGGTTTGGAGGTTTTTTTGTGACAAAAGATGATATGTGTAAACAAGAGAACTAGCTAGCCCTTGTCTCCGCTGCATAGATTTGCTGAGCTATGCCCCTCCCAAAAATCAAGCAGCCCCCCAATCTAATGTGAGTTCTGAATCTACTGAAACAAGACCTACAGCTCTTCTTGAATGGTATTGCAAAAATGATTACAATTAAAAGCTATTTTTCACTCAGAAAAAAAAACAAACCTATTGAACTTTCTTTTTTTAAATCGTATTGTCTTAATACTGCTTCAAGGAAAACATCTGCTTAGAGAAAGCTAATAAGTGCAGAGAACAGCTGAAATTGTTAAATAGACAGCTGAGAAGCAAACCTGCTCTGCTAATGGATTTTCTTTCAGTTTAACAAAAACAAAAAGTGTCACAGTAGTCTTCAAAGTCTAATGCAAACACATCCATTCATTATGCTGTTCAAATCACGCTCTTAAAAACCCAGGACTCTGTTCCTACAGTTCCTTTTCTCTAGCAGGACACAGAATTTACTTCTCAGCATGACAGATGGTCTTTCTCCTTTCTCTGATATATAAGTAACCCAGAATTGACATTCCTTAGTTTCCCTGCTCTCCGTAATATCTGATTGTTAGTAGGTGACAACCTATTTCTGAGCACACTATGACTAACTTTCTGAGCCATGTAGCTAATTAACACATCACAACAAAAAAAGTAAGGTAGAGGAAAGGTAGTAAAAATGTGAACAGATCAGGGTTTCACACCACAAGCTCGAAGACAATGAAATGAAATCACCATAATCTTTTGTTTACTGAGCACAACTGTTTTGATAGACACAAATAGAGACAAACACTATCATTTTCTTCTTTTGCCTAAACTCTCAAGTTTCTCTGAGGTTCTTTCAAATTTTTATTGAACTTACAAATATTGTCATTGGAAAGATAAAGGTTATAATATTTTCATGAAGACAAAATATTACAGCTCCTTCTAGCAGCTTTGACATAAATAAAAGAATTCCATAAAGAACTTTCCAACTCTAAGTCTGCATTGTGTTTATTGGATTGTGGCAAAACCAACAAAAAAACCCAAACCAAACACCACACCAAAAAATACCAACCAAATTTAGAGTATTTAATTATTTTCATAATAGTTTGAATGATACTGCATATTGTTAGCAATAGTGGTTTAAAATACTGCTCTTCTCAACTTCACAAGTACTGAATTACACCAGCAAATAGAGCATTAAGGAATACAAAACAGAGTCTATGCCAGACAGGAAGCTGCTTTATTAAATTTCAGGTCTCATCCAACAGTACAAGGGAAGTATTAAGGCATATGAGAGTCTTGCCAACAAATTCAGATGAAACAGAAACCAACCCAAACCATAGTGTGGCAAGTCATTAAATTAATCTACAATGCAGAGCTTTGTATACCAAATCCAATTTTTAACCATAAACACAACCTTTGGCTGTGTTGGTCTGTTCAATCAAATCCAACACCAAGAATCAGGAAATCCAGGACAGAGTCCATGAAACAAAAAATCTGAAACCCAGATCTCTGAACACATTATCCTTGTGTTCCAAAAGATGAGGAGATCTAAACTTCTTGAAACCAAAAACCAGAATTTATCAAAAAGGTAATTTACACAAGGCACGTAAAGTTAATTAAAACGGGGTTTAAAGGTTTCTGGCTGGACTGAATAACATGATGATGCCTCATTAGGAACAAATACATTCTCAGTAGACAAACTGTCCCACACTTTTTCTGGTCCTTTGTAGATCACAGTTTCATTTGACATAGCTACAAATATGCATTTATCTTCTTAGTATACTGAAGATGGAAAAAAGCAGCAATGATACTTTGGGGTTTAGAACTAATACTCACCATTTACACAAAGAAAATGTATATTACTTGTGACTAGTCAAATATAAAATAATACATGTATTATTTGCACCA